AAGCATCGACACAAATGTTTTGTTGCTTGTTATTAAGCTCAAAACTACACAAAGGACTATCTGCATGCCCGAGTATCAAAACTCGGTTTCAAGCGGTATAAGTCCATAGATATACCGAAACAAATGATTTATACATAACCATAAAGATCAGAGGCGTTGCTAGAGACTTGAAAGATTCGGGGTTCGGGCCCATAGGCGCGAGAATTTTCGACGTTTCACTATGATATCGATCATGGTTTTCTATTCTGATTTTTCCAGACACCAACTGGGGATTTGGGGCATGCTTCTCGTGTATTAATGCCTAGCGACGCCTCTGATAAAAATGTAAGTTCTGGGGGCTACAAACATGACATCTAGGTATTGGAACTCTTATTCTCGAGCATGTGTTAAGTCCCAACAAAACACATTAATTTTTGTATTCGAACCAAAGATTATACTAAAATATACGAATAAAAACTTAAACAAAGACCTCCCTTTCTCCCCTAATCTTTCGGTATCTCAAAGAGTTTTGGAAATTCATAATTAAAAGATGACCCCTTACTTGTTGAAAGCCCTGGAGATTGAAAGATTCTCGTCGTCCGTCTAACAAAACCTGCAGATCCTGTCGGCTCAGGCACAGGTCGTGACTTATCAGACAACTAAGTCCCTACAAATACAAAGAAATAAGCCAAACTAGAGCCCTTTTTAACAGTTTTAAATATTGTGCTCGCGAACTAAGTTATTATAACACTTAGTGTATACTTTTGTAATGTATCACAGTAGCAGTATATCTTTTGAGTCTCCAAAAGCGGTTAGTGACGTCACAGGTCTTTCTTATATGGAGAAAGTTCAAATATTACAATTAACTAACCACCACCTGGATTTCTCTATTTTTCTCTTTAAAATCAATAGATATATATGTTACACATCTAAGAAAAGAAAAAAAATATGTTTGCATCAAAATTTATATTTGCAGAGAATATATAGGGAATAAATTTTAAATAAAAAACAACAACGACGATCATTATATGCAAAGTCAGCTGTTAGTATTGGGTATCGTATTAGCATGTAAAACATTCACAGTATTAGGATGTAAAACATTCTCTTTTTTTATAGAGAGAAGACTTGGCAAAAATTAAAGGTGTTTTAGTACTTAAAAAATGTACATCAGATTATCCTATTTTCTTTGGCTAGTTTCTTTAAAATGACTATTTTACGCCATTTTATTGTTTTGTTTGCTTGAATTGAACCATAACATAATATTTGTTTAATTAAGAGCTATATTCCTAAATAATTCTGATAAGTTTAATTAAAAACTGTATTCCTGAGGCAAATTATGATCATTTTAATTAAAAGTTATATTCCTAAGGCAAATTTTCATAATTTTAAATAAAAGAGATATTCCTAAAGCAAATTCTGATAATTTTAGCTAAAAGTTATATTTCTAAAGCAAATTCTGTTAATGATAACTAAAAGCTATATTCTTCATAAAATTCTAATAATTTTCTTCCAAATTTATGAAGAAATTTTAATCAATTAAAGTTGTATTCATATGTAAATGTAAGAAGAGCGTCGTTAATTACTAAATTATACAGTTTACTGACATATTTACTATAGAAACGTAACATCATCTGAATATATACTTCTCTTAACTCTTAACTTTTTTTAACTAGAAGTGTTCACAATAATTCAAGCCTAAATTTAAAAGATACGATAAGATGTATGGGGAAATTTGAAACTTGTCTCAATTAAAGTGATATTCTGAAGAACACGAGGCACTCATTTTTGTCTTATTCGCAAGTTGCTTTTACAGGATAACAACATGACTGGGGAAACCTAGGTAATACTTAAATTATTATATTTCAATTTTAATGAGGCAAAGTTCAGACATCATGCTTAATAGATACTAGCCCTCAATAAAAAATCTCAGTAACGGTGGTGGAAAAGGGCATTTCAGTTAGAAATGGTTGAGCCATATCGTAACTCTAACACAAATGATTATGATATATTTAGTGGTTTTATCAGAGCAAACTCCTGAGTAGCTCACTGAGTGCTTTTAATGCTAACATTCTGGATTTGATCCCAGCGGAGGCCACATCTTAAATAGCCTATTCAAACTATGGTCTTAAAACAAATCATCAGGGCACGTGCCAGCTTTCCTGTTTGGCACTTGTAACTTAATTTTTTCGATTCTAGAAATTTTACATGACAGTAATTATCATTTACTTTTGCGCCTACGATGTAAAACGCCATTACCTGAACTTAGCTGTATATAAGGAATCTTGAGAATTAAAATTGGTTCGCACCTTTTTAGAGTTATTCCAATTATATATGCTTTTTCGCATTTTGAAAATATTAGTATAGCACCTGAAACTATTTTTCTGGTAGAATGACGTAATACGTTCTTAGAACAAGTGCATTATCTCATTACTCTGATTCATCGTGCTCACTGAAAATCGCTAGCCTAAGAAATTTCGGTTGTATGTTATTAACCAATCAGAATGCAGTTTTTTCTGGCATCGCTTTGAACTGTACAGGTATACTTAGCAGAGCCTATAAAATATTCGCACGGAAATCAAACCATCAGTTATAACGTGGTTGACGACGTAAAGAGTTTAGAAGAATGTGAAATAAACACAGAATAACATAATCACACTTTATACAATCAAAATTACTTACTTACTTCATGCAAATAACGCCACACTGCCATTTTTAGAATATTTACAATAATATTTCCTTCGTTAGTCAAAAATGACATTGTGTTACCAAGAGCCCCTGCATTAAAGAAAACTTTATAATGAATTATTCAAAATGTAGTGTCTCTATATTAGAACCCACATCTCCTAATTTATGTACATGTATATTTTTTTTAGTTTATTAATCGATGTGTTCGTTAAGAGAACGTTAAAGAAATGCTATTCAATGTCTAAAACTGTTCTGTCCACTCTTTTGCTTCACCCTCTCTTTCCCTCTCGTTTTCTGATGACCTTTTCTTGTTTTCTTGGCATCCCATCCATTCAGTGTTGTGCCTATCTTTACCTAATCTTCTGAGGTGCATATTTATGGAAATTGACTGTGGGTCTTTTCGTCTTTATCTCCCAGCAGTGAAGATGTGCTTACGTGTTGCTCAAGTTATAAAGCCAGCAGACCAATATGCACGTTTTAATTTTTTTTCTTCCAAAAATAATTACCTAAATTTACTCCGTACGTTCAGCTTTCTTTGAATTAAGCCTTCATATTCTAGTGGCCATTTTAATTTACTTTAGAATTTTCATCGCATTGTGTTTACGTTAAATTACGACTATATGTAATAAAGACTTGTATATTCTATCTTGCATTTCAGTTCATGACTTCTATCTCTCAATTCGTCCTCGTCAAATGAATCTTTTGAACTCATGATTATGTGTGGAATACTTGTAGCCGTATGAGGATATTCTTACTCACGGATATCATAGAGGCGAAACAAGATACAGATTTAGTCCCATGACCAAAGATTTAGTCTGAGTAAGAACCTGTGAGAAGCCAACGACCAGACGTTGCTGTGCTATAGTGCTGAGACTTAGTGGAGAGTTTCTCTAACCACCTAGGACTGAGACAGCCTCAAGTGTACCTTGACTCGAAGGATAAATATGTTTGTGACACAAGCTAGTTGACTAGACAAGCCTATCTACATTGTTTCGTCAGTAAGTGGAATAGCCAAAGCCGTAACATGGAGATCGAAGGACATGTCGTAGATGAGATGTCCGAGGATAGCATATGGTTCCATGCAGAATAGCCACCAGGAGGCTTTACTTCTTGTCTTATCACACGACATTGAAACGCTCAAGCAAGAGATTGCATTGTGTTGGAAACATTACAGATGTCGGAGCTTCAACACAAATCTTGCATTATTGGGAAAGTACAGATAATAAACCACAATGTTACATAGGTAAACTCACCATACTCGATGGTGTCAAATATCTTGACGAGACTTAGCTATTTAGCTCAGATGCTACTATAGGAAAATTAAACTTCACAACCCAATCTTAGAGCATACCAACTGACCCCATGAAGAACCACATGTGTAAAATGGAATATTTAGACTCTAACAGAAGTGATACAAGTAGCAAGGTTTGAAGCCATAATTTTATATATGTTGCACGGAGTAAAGACAACTGTAGCCATCACTGCAGTGAATATAGTAGCATATATTACTGGAAGGATTTTTGGTATAGGTCGAGAGTTTCTCGGCTACGAATGACATTAGGCACCATGTTCTAGCTAAAGTGGGTCCACAAGGTAAAAAGCAATACTTAGAGCTTGTTCTCCCTGTTGGACTACGGGTATAGTCAGAGAGTGGAAAAGATATAAAGCGTATCATGTTGTGGAGCCTTATCTTGCCTGTGATAGAACTATCACTGAAATTTTACCATTGGCCATTGAACTGAGAATTTTATATGCTCACTGCCAACTACTTTGAAAGTAATGTTAGTGTTAAGGAATAATTTTTTGCCAGAGTTTGAGGAGGCTACGACATTCAGTTTGAGTGATCAAAAGCTGTTGATCAACCCTATGCTAAAATCTGTTACTGAATTTTCTGAGAACGGTGAAACGTATGTCACCAAAAGAAGAAACCCTTCAAGCAGCGCATGTAAACTCTGATAGAATCATCAAGAAAAGTGATATGAAGACTGTTGTGACAGGCGTAGAAAGTTGCGTAAAATATTTTCAACTCGAAGTCACTATCAGGTAACTGTCTGGGATACAGCATCTAGATACCACTGCAAAGAAGATAAAAAGCGAAGAGAAAATCGGGGTTAACATGAGAGGATAGCATTATATCCTTTTTTTACATAGCGGCATAAAACGTGTCTTTTCATTCGTGGAGATTCATCCAGCTTATTGAGTTTGCTATTTGTTGTCATATTTGAAAATATTGTGTATTATGTAACGGACTATGTGTTGCTCTAGCTGTTTGTATTGTGTACTTGAAACACTACAGAATTTTCCATAGAAAGGTACATGCTAAAACAAATAGCTTAGAAGTTTAATAAATTCCAGAACAGAGTGTTTATCTAATTAACTTGATACTTGCTTTATTAAAAACTTATGTGGCATATTAATTATATTTGTTTTTGGTTGATTCATTAATAGCATCATCATATTAGCATCAGTGAAGAACTGACTGGCAAGCACAAGAAAGAGCTACAAGATCTGTCGTGCCAGTATACAGATGTCTTCATAGATAGATCAGGCAAGACAGACCTTGTGCAAAACAAGATCGAGACCATGACCAGGGATCCAGTCAAGGTGGAGCCCTACCAGATGCTCTATGCAATGAGAGACCAACAAGGGAACTGAAAATGTTGGTGCAGACTATACCAGGAGACTTTGTGTATGAACTCAAAACAGGCTTTGTATAGTGTAAAAATACTGTAAATATTGTTTCTTGAAGAGGGGCTTATTGTTGGATTTACAAGACTGTTCAGTTTAAGAGTTATTATTTACTTTATTTAGTGATTTAATATTTAATGATTATTTAGTTTCATAACAAGAGTGTTAAAAGTTAATTATTTTAAAGTCAATTGCTATGACAAGTTTGTTACGTAACTCTGTGCGAGTCGTTCGTTGCGTATGTAGTTTAATTGTTGTACTAAGCTTTTGTAATCTTGTTGACGTCATCTTACTCGAAGCTTCTAAGTTTTTCTCGTTATGTGTCATATTGTTGTTACTGGAGGGCTATATATTTCTAGGTTTTTCTGTCGCGTGTTATAAATACGCAAGGAAGTTAAGTAAAAGAATGAAGTTAGTGAAAGTGAAAGTAAAAGTTAAGTTAGACTGCGTGATTGTAAGTTTAGCCGTAACGGCCGATTTTTAAAGTGAATATCACAGCTTAGTATTGTAATAACAGAGTAGAGGAGAATAATTTGTCTTGTAAAAGGGTGTTCTAAAGTAATTGAACTCATCTGTGTGGTCTTTAACAAAAAAGAGACAATTATTTAAAGCTCTGGATACAACTGTGATAACCAATAGTGTAACGAATTTTTGTACATACGTTTGACTTGGTTTGAATATATTATTTTAAAACAAGTGAATTGTGTGCTGTCCGATAATTGTTGACATTTATCGCCAACAAATCACAGACACCTATTGTAAATAATCTGGCTTTATAGAAACCTTACATACAAATTTGAATAACTTTACCTGAGAATACCAGAAAAATACATAAATAAAATCACTTAAATAATATCAGTGGTTGGTTAAAAATTTAAAACCTACCATTATTCCGATTTCTTCTCCTACTTCTTCCAAAGCTTCGGCAACATCTTGGGCTACAGAACGAGGTGTAAACAACATCTTTATTGTGTCTGTAACAACTACATTTTTGACCCGATTGGCTACCCATCCTTCCTGGCTTCGGGATTCCTGGAGGTTTGGTTGGGCATTAATCTCCGTGATAAAAGGGTAAAATGTGGAATTCAATATGATGTCAAACCCCATCAGCTGGAAACACTGGTGACACCTATGTGAAGGCACGTTAATTAGGTCACAGCTACCACCAGGAGCTTAGTATCTAAGTACATAATCAACCAACTCTAGTAAATAAGTAAATCTTCTCTCGTGAATAATTGGTAATTATAATCACCATAATATGTTTAGAGATAGCCTGAACACTAATTACACGCTGCCCAAAGTTGTAATAAGATATAAACTTAATTATAGCATTGTACTTTTATTTATATTCTTGGTTGTGTTTGAAGGGTTGTCAGAAGAAAATATTAAGTGTTCTAAAAAAAGTTAAAATATTTATATTTTAGTGACCGAATGATTTATTTCCACGGGACTTTTGACCATAACTACAAATAACTTTCGTTTGCATTACATTAATGCAACTTCTGTTTGAACTATTTTGAGTGTTTTTTTTTAATTTACCCCTTACAATAAAATTCGTAGAAGACAAAACAATATATTTCATCGTAACAAAGAACAAATAATTCGCATAAATGTATCGTGAACCTAAATATAAACGTCTTACCCTGATAAATAAATGAATCTTTGTCAGAATGCGGTTTCTTTTGTCCACTTATTGACGTAAAAAACATCATATACTAAAAGAAACTGATAATTTGTTTAGTCTGAAAAAAAATGTAAAAAACAAAACAAAAATATATCTTACTAATAAAGTTTGAATCCACACTACAGGAACAATACCAAATTTAAATGAATACTAGTTTGGACATTTATCAGTTCAACGTTTGTTTATGTGAGTAACACATACACTGTATATTTTATAACAGAAGTCCTAATTTCTTGAACGGCACATGACGTCAGAAAGGGGTTGAATTTCCTTTTTAAAATATGCAGCGTATGTGTTTCTTTCACAAACAAACGTTGGACTGAAGAGGACATGAGAAATATCCAAACTAGTTTCCATTTACATTTGGCATTGTTCCTGTAGTGTGGGTTTAAACTTTTTGTAAACTGTTTTACACGGTAGAGTGTATTAACCTATATTATACCTTACTAAGTTCACTCCTTCTGTCGGGTTGCTAATGGTAGACGTTGACGTCACCAGTACTTCAGCCAACAACAAACTCTTTGTGATGACGTCATGAAGGTTGTTAAGAGTTTTTTTAACGGCTTGCATACCGTGATTCCGTGCGATGAAATACCAAAATTGGGAGAGGCTCCATAATCGACCTGAGATCTGTGAATATAAAGATTATGTATATTAAGCAAACACAATTTTAACCCAAACGTTCAAGTATTCAAAATATACAAAGTTAGAAATACAAAAGCTATTAAAACAAATTATGTCTATTTTCGTTTTCAGGCGGAAGACTTTCGAAACGTCGTCCTCTACATTTATAAGTTTCTACAACAGGCAGTTGCTGTCCATTTGAAACATAGATTCATTATGAATAGTCTGCCTAAACAACCTATCAAAGAATATCTATTCCATATTTACATAAAAGCTTTTTAAAGTATGAATTACAGATACACATACGACTTGCAAAATATTGATAGGTGTCCAGTTATAATATCTTCTTTCCAGTGTATAGGTTTTCTCATAGTGACCACGAAGCACGTACACACCAACAGTATGAGCATAAGTGAACTTCAAACCTTGCGTTCAATAAATACACTATAGAGTTACTCCTGAAGTTTATTTTGTTAAATTTTTTTCCTACAATTAAAAAAGTATTCTTAAAACTTATATAACCCAAACCATTACTTAAATAACAGGTTGATTATTTGTAGACAACGATATAACTAAAAGAACAAAATATTAACTGAAATTCTAGTCATTCAAGCATCGAAATCCAAATTGTGAAGGTTACAATAGTCTTCAGCTTAGCTAACACTTATTAGTTTCTGCATACATGCAAAACATAAATTAATGTTACAATTTGTGATCAATTAGAAAGTTGTTTAAGAAGTTTCGGTTAATCTCGTAACACACGAAAACAGTAAAAAATGTCGACTCTACATTATCTGTTGTGCGATAATTCTATTAACAAAACAAAACAATATAACAATACTGAGAATAAACTGTTGTAGGCAGAATAATTATTTAAGGGAAATTATGTCCTACCCTCTTGTACAGAAGCCTGTAATATTCACCCAGGAGACTAAGTGTTCAAGCTAGATTATTTCCAAACAGCTCCTTACTCTAAACAGCCCGGCATAGCCAAGTGGTTAGGGCGCTTGACTCGCAATCTGAGGGTCGCGGGTTCGACTCCTCGTCCCACCAAATGTGCTCGCCCTTTCAGCCGTGGGGATATTATAATGTCCGGTGAATCCCACTATTCGTTGGTAAAAGAGAAGCTTAAGAGTTAGTAGTGGGTGGTGATGACTTCACTGCTAAATTAGGGATGGCTAGTTCGGACAACCCTCTAGTAGCTTTACGCGAAATACAAACCAGGAGATAATTTATTATCCAAAACACAATTTCATATCTGGTCCAAGTACGACGAGGCATTTTCGTGATCCCTGGTTTATGGTTATAAACTGTTTTCCAATTTTTTTTACGGACAATTGTGAAATTTTACCACTGTTTTTCTATCGTTTCCCTGGCATGGTGTGATAATATGATTTAATTTTTAACTGAATTAAAAATAAATCAAGATTAGTTTGTTCTCTCTCTCTCACACACACACATATAGTACCTTTCGGAAGCTTCGAGTATAGTCATAACGATGATACACGAGTCCTTCCGAATGTAGATAAGCTCGTAGAGGTGATAATGATGTTACCAATATATAGAGACGTAAACTGACTGGCTGACCAAATACTTTTAGTTGATTAGGTATAACTTGCTGAATTATAACACGCCGATGTTCACTGCTGTAAATAAAACATCTATTAAAATCCCTTTCATATCAAACATGGGAGTACTAGTCTTAAGTATTTGAAAATGAACTTCCTAATAAGGAGAGAAACATTTTTAAAACATTGTAAGTACATTACATAAAAATGAGGAAAAAAGAATGAAATCCCATTTTTATTACTTGGGGTACAAACTAACTTAATAAACTAATATACCAATATATACTTCCACTTGTTGCTTGGAGTTTGGTAAATAATTTAGGAACGTTACAAATAAGCTCTATATGTGTTACATATTATTAGCAAAGGCATACACGTCAAACGGCATTTATTTCGTTGGCTTCACGTGTTTGTTTGTTTGTTTTGAATTTCGCGCAAAGCTACACGAGGGCTATCTGCGCTAGCCGTCCCTAATTTAAGAGT